CTCTCTCTCTCTCTCTCTCCCCCCCCCCTCTCTCTCTCTCTCTCTCTCTCTCTCTCTCTCTCTCTCTCTTCTCTCTCCTTCTACAAAGAGACCAATCTCAGAAAGATTAAACATTGCTGGTTTGTAAAGCGCCATAGTTTACAAATGGCTTTATTTGATCCTCATAGTCATTTGAGATAAAACTGGACCAGCTATTCATATTTTTGTCTATTGGAGAAAACAAGTCTTTGCAATATGGGCAATAACTCAGGAAGGCAGGCAGTAGCACTCGTTCTAAAATAACGTGGGATTCCTCATCAAGACAAAAAAATACTGTGGGCTCTTATCTCACATACTCATTTCAGGCTATAAATTGCTTATCCATGACTTTTTTCCCCTTACTCTATTAGACAGATGTCCTCTTATGAAAATGTAGGAGTGAAGAGCACAGTATGGTTTGCTCTGGACCTGAAATTCTACTGGGTCCATGTGCAGTGTGGAGGAAAGCCTTCAGAGACCCAGAGAAGAGATTCAGATCCCAAATCCACCACTTACTCTGTGACCTTGTATAGGTCAGTAGCCAGTTTACTTTATCTGTGAAATGCAGTTAAACAATACCATCTCCTTCATACGCTTGCTGTGATTATTAACCAGAGGTTAAATAAGAATGTGGTATGTAGTAGGTGCTCCAAACTTCCAGAGTCTCCATGTGATTCAGAGGCTCACCCATTCTTTCTCCTCCACCACAAAGAGAGGCCCCAAGCCCTTAGTCCAGGAATCTGCCTTAAGTTGGCCAGTGCTCTGAATAGACTTGACATTACTATCCATCCCCACAACCTCGAATGAATACAAAAACAGCTTCTCACTAGACATGACACACAGGAAAGTGCCAACAAGATCCCAGCAGAGAGCTAAGTCTCATCTTAAAACTGTGTAAGAGAGAAGGTAAGCCTTTAAATAAGGATGTCCCAAAAGCTCTATCTGGTACTTTGTCCTGCACAAAGTAGGAGCTCAATACATGTTTACTGTATGTTTAAACCAAGGGAGTTCAGCAGCCCTAGTGCTTTAGGTTTCCTGATCAATTACTTTTAATGTCACCAAACTAGGGACATAATTGTTGGCAGCAGAGGATTTTAGCTTTTCTGAACTAAAGTACTGATTCCAGCACAGTTCATTAGATCAACAAAGAGTTAAAATGTCCTTGGCTTAATCATGAGTTCACTTTTGCTTCTAGTCATATTTTCTATAAAACTCAAACTTCAGAACCCCAAAAAATGCCTCTTCCTCATCTTGACAGCTTACCTCGCTCATCACTATAGGGCTTAACTTTAAACAAATGAGAGCACTTCAACTGAAGCAGGTGTTAACCATTTCAGCCCCCTTGTACTAAAGGATTCTTGTGATGACTTGTAAATAAAACTTTGAAAGTATGAAATCACGAAGAATATAAAAAAAGTTGGTTGGATACCTAAGAACTCTTCAAGCTGTTCTTAAGATTTAATGGCAATAAATAAAAGCATCATTCACTCTTGCCCTTGACTTTATTATCTGTTGTTGAAGAGTCAAAACAATGTGTATCAAGGTGATGTATTAGTCTGCATTTTGCTAGTTCATCTATGAAGAGAGTTCTTGTATTTCAAGGAACAACAAAATAAACATGTATCCCTCTGATATAACTCTTTTCTTCTCAGGATATAATTCAAATTTTCCATTTTCTCTACAAGGTTGAAATGTGACTGCATGAAGTTGAAGAAGCAACATATTGAAATTGGTTTATCTATATTTAAACTCCAGAAGACACATTATTGAGAGATTCATTTGCTTCTGTGCCTTTTAAACTTTTTAAAATGATCTTGTTATTGTAAAAGAAGGTGGGTTTTGAGAAAATGTTTATCTTCCTATAGTTTTTAAATCTTCCTATAGTTTTAGTACAATCAGCCATATCCTTTTATAAATCCCTAGAATGTCACTGAATGAATAGAATATGACAATTATGAAATTATAAATTCCTTTTTCTAATGGAAAAAATAAAATGCATCCATTGTGACTGGATACAAAAATGTTTATGCATGATAAACAAATATTGGAAGATAAAACACTGATGAGAATAAAATAGTCATTTTAAGGCTTGATTTGGGGAGGTGTTCTTTCCCCAAGAAATGTTGATACAGAAATCCCCCCTTATCTGAGGTTTTGCTTTCCATGGTTTCAGCTACCCTCAGTCAACTGCAGTCTGAAAGCAGATTATTCTCCTGAAGTGAAGGACAAGAGCTGCCTAATGCTATGTCACAGTACCTATATCATTCACCTCACTTCATCTCATCATGTAAGCATTTTATCATCTCACATTATCAGAAGAAGTGTGAGTATGGTACAATAAGATATTTTGAGAGAAAAAGACCACATTCACATAACTCTTATAGTTGTTAAATTGTTTTTTATTATTAATTACAGTCATTAATCTCTGTGCCTAATTTCTAAATTAAACTTTATCATTGATATAATATACTATATACAGGGTTCAGTACTATCCACAGTTTCAGGCATACACTGGGTGTCTTGGAACATATCCCCTGTGAATGGGGGGACTACTGTACACAATTTCCTAATAAAAGGGAAGGATTATCAGAATTTAAGTGCTGAGTGGCTCTACTTAAAATCTAACTGCTACTATACCAAGACTCTTGTCTGAGACCATTTCATCAAGACATTCCATAGCCCCACGTGTTCCAGTGTTACTCTCACCTCCTAAGTTACTCCTTGGTCACTTTTGCTGGCTTCTTCTCGATCTGACCCTTAAATGGTGAAAGTACCTCAGGACTCCATCCCAAGCCTTTTACTCCACTCATTCCCTAGAAAGAGAGCTTCATTTGTACACACAATTCTGTTGATCATCACACTGTCATCTATTCAACTGCTGGCTTGTATATCTCACAGGTGCGTCAAACTTTGTCCATAACTGAATCTGTTATCTTCCCACCAACAACTGGCTCCTTCCCCAGTTTTCTCTTATCTCAATAAACAGTGCCACTGTCTACCCACTAGTCTAAATCAAACCCTGGAAGTCATTCTGGCTCTCCTGCTCCTTTATGACAAGCCCAGTGACTCATCAGAACTTAACTGTTCTAGCCTCTGTTGTGAATCTACCACAATTCTCCAAACTCACCATTTCCTCTAGCCATGCCTCTATCTTCTCTAGTCTGTGTTCTTACATTTACCTAGCCAGTCTCCTTCGATCTTCTCTACCCTGGCCTACTTTTCCAAGTACCTCGCCTGCAGTCCACTCTCCTCAAATCTATAGTGGTCTTTAAAAATGCAAACTTCATCACCTCTACTACCTAAAGTTTTCCCTTTCTCTTAGGATGAAGCTAACAATCCTGAGGCTTACCACACATCCCATGGGCCCACCTTTACCTCTCATGCTCCAGCCATACTGGTCTTTGATTTCCCCCAAAATACTCCATACTCTTATCCTGAAGCCTTCACACTTTTATTTCCTCTGCCTGGAACACTCCTCTCTTTCATCATTTGGCCAACTCCTGATCAGTTTTCAGATCAGGGAGACCTGGATTGTCTTGCTTCCCACTAAAATCAGTTTCCTCGGGTTATAGCAACACCATGCTTGCTGTAGTAGTCATAACATGATTATCTGCTCAGTATCTATATTTTCTTCTCAATCTTGAGCTCTACAAGAGTTTTTTTGTTCATGCAAAAAAGAATATTCGTTGGCAGGCTTCTGTGTGCAGAGCATCTTGAGAGGCATTGGCTCGACAGCAATGAACAATCCCACAAGCTCTTTGCCTTCTTGGACTTTCATCTGCTGGAGACAATGAAGCATGTGAGTACACATACATACTCACACACGTGGAACAAATTTCCAGTTACAAAGGTCTATAAAGGAAACCATAGGGTGCCATGAAAGAGAACAATGGAGATCTAGCTAAGCTGGATGGAAAGCACTTTCTGAGAAGGTAACATTTAAGATAAGACCTAGAAGATGACAATAGGCCATCCATGGAAAGAACGTTCTAAATAGAGAATAGCTTTGCAGAGACTAAGAAGAAAAGGCTCTCCGTGTTTAAGGAACCAAAGCTAAACCAGTTTCAGCAAAGAAGAAAGTAGTTCAGAAATAAGATTGAAGAAGTAAATAAAGACAACAGATACTAAGAATAAAAATGAAGAGCTATCTCATATTCACTGAAGTCTATGAAACAAAAAGGAAATTTTCTATGCAGGAATCTCAGTGAACATGTCTAAAAAAAGTATTGATCTATCTAAGTTCTACTCACCACAGCACAGCAATAGTCGCCCACCTCTTTTCTCTAAAAATTACCACCCAAAAACTAGGCCAGACCTGGACCTGGTCCTCCTTTCTTTGGCTTCATTCTCTCACCTTCAAGAGTCCATTCTTTGTCCTTGAAAAACTCCCTGCCCTTGCTAATGTAAATCAGTCTGCCCTTTATAATTTCACCATTTCTGCCTCTCTACCAGTTTATTCTGCTCAGCACAACAGAAGCAGCAGAGATCAGGGGTAGAATCTTCCCAGAAAGGTGTAGTAGGGAAAGAATGTTTGTATTTTCAGTTTTGTTTATTTGCTTTGTTTGTGTTTGTTATCACTACTGCTGTGTCGCTTTCACGCTGGGAATCCCATCTGACCACTGTGGAGAATGGCTTGTGGGGGAGCTAGAAGAAGCAGGGGAAATAGCAAGGAGCCTGTTGCAGAAAAATCTGACCAATGGGGAAATGAAGAGGAAAACAGTGCATGGATTCAAGATCTACCTTCTAGCAGAGCTAACTTGTCTTGAAGGTGATAGGAGGGGAGGGAAGGGAGCTGTCAGATAAGTTCCCCGGGTCTCTGGCTTCAGCACCTTGGTGGATGGTGGTCTGTTGATAGAGATGAAGAGGAGAGAGAGGGGCAACTTTGGGATCAGAATCAGTCTAGGTTTAAGCTCCTTATGAATTATTTAAGAGGAGTCATTGAAAAGGAGACTCAGGTTCAGAGGGTGAGGCCAGGAAGTATAAATTTGGGAGTTTTCAGCATATAAATGTTATTTGCGGTTCTGCAAGCAAATGAGACCACCTAAGAATTTACCACCATGTCTCGGCATTAGCACAGTGCCTGACACACTCTAAGTGCTCAAAAGTATTAAAATTTAAGCTCCTGTCTGTCTTATTCACCCTTGTATCCTCGTGATTAGGACAATATCTGGCATATGGCGAGTACTCAACAGTTTCCTGTGAATGGAATGAATGATTTAGCAACTGGACCACTCAGAGCAGTAAAACAATGATTTCAAACCCATATCTCTTAGACTCCAAAGACAATTTGCTTTCACATTAGGATGGTACTGTGGTTCAGCAGACAGTTTCAAAAACCTGGTGAGAAAGAAAAGTACATGGTGTCCCCATTATATAAATAAGGAAACAAAAGAGGTTATATGGTTTGCCTAAAACTAAAACCCAGGCCTTTTGACTCATATTCCAGCATCCTTCTGCCATAGTAGGGATGACATTCAACAGACTAGCAGCTGCTCTAGGTATTTTGTACCTTACAGTTAACATATGCTGTAAAGAAAGAAAAAAAGGGAAACCAAATAAATTAGGTTTGGAATTGGTGAGTATTACCACTTAAAACAATCATACTTTTCTGCCTTGCAAGTTTTTTTCCATCAAGATTCAGCTCAAGTATCATATGGCTTTTTACACTTCCCAGAAGCAAGGTATCAGCTCCCTCCCCCTTTGTCCATTGGCATTGTGCTCTCAGAGATATGGTTTCTATTATACCAGCAGTTTTTGTATTTTTTTCAGAAAACTCTTCTATCTGATCTGATCTGCATATTAAAAGATACATTAATGAACAAAGGCATTGTATAAAACAGTGTACACTGCCAATAGGTCTTTGTTTTGCTTTTCTCTTTAAGGGTTATAGTTATCCATGTGTTTGTATGTGCATGCATAGAGTATTTCTGGAAATTCTCTCAAGAAACTGGTCCCTGAAAAGAGGAAGTAGGATGGAGAGGGGTAGGAAGATGTTCTTTTTTATGTATACCTTTGTACTATTTTTGAATTTTTAAAGCGTGCTTATATATTAGTTTTAGGGAAAAAAATTAAAAAATTAATCTCAGAAAACCAGATTATTTTGGTGAACATTAATTTTGAAATTAAGATTTATAAATGATAATTGCAGTCATATAAACTTCAGTATCCAAAATATTTCTGTATTTTGTTTAGATTGGATAGCATTGAGAAAATCCTGATGAACAAAGATGTGATTTCAAATGGTAACACTGTTCTTTTAATTGCTCTTCAACTAGGCAGATTCAGAAACTTGAAACAGCGGTAATAGGAAATGTTTATTAGGAAAAAGAAGAATTAAGTGAGGAACAGATGGAGATTTGCATGACACAAGAATAGCAGAATATTGATAACTATTGAAGCTGGGTGATAAATGTAGAGTTGTTCCTTATTCTATTGTTTATTTTGTATCTGTTTCGAAGTGTCCATAATAAAATGTTTGAAAAAATTGGTTTACAAAAGTAGCACACGACTGTTCACATGCTATATTATAAAGTCAGGCAAACACCAAAAACTTATAAAGCTCTAAATGTAAGGATCTGCAAAACCCTGCCTACCCTACCTGACATGTTATACATTTGTTATTGCACATAAAGTACATCAAGCTGATGAACATGAATTTTGCTATATATTTAATTGTGCCCAGCACATACAAGCTGTGGTTGCATAGTCACCCATCAAAATTTCTATAAGCGGATACATGCAGACTGGATTTTCAAAAGACCAATGTAAACCTACAGCTTTTCTAAGTAAAGACATATTTACAATAAATTCAAAAATAGCCTCAGAAACAACAAGGAAAATTTAATGCAGATAGATACATAAAAAAATCGTTCCCCTGCCCTGACAGTGGACATTAGCTAGTGGTGGTCCCACTGTATTAAAATTTTAATATATTAAATGAACTGATTTTATTACAGGTGTTTTAATATTTAAAAATATATTTCTAAAATGAAATTCATATCAAACATTTATTCCACCCCTGAAACACAGAGCAGTTTAAAAACCAATCCACTAGACTGTTATAAAATTTAAGGAAGAAAATATATCTTATTCATCTCTGTCTCTCCAATATCAAACACGATAGTTTGATGAATGAATATTGTTAACTGAAGGTATAGAAAAATTGATTTCTAGCCTCAAAGTAATCTTATAAGAAATTCGTCTGTGTTAATTTTTCTGAATACATAAAAATTTATCCTTATTTTAAACAATCCAATACATGAAATTTTAATTTGAAATTAAAAACCTATAGGTCCCTAATCTTTCATTTTTCTATGTATAAAGTAATACATATTTATAAGAATTTTCTTACTTTAAAAACTAGGATCACATCATGGATACAAGTTTTGAAACCTGTTTTTTTCTTAAACATGTATCTAGGACATCTTTTCACTGGCTACACATCTGGAGTCTCTCTCATTCCTTTTAAAGGATACATAATATTCTATCACTTGGCAGTACCATAATTTAGTCAATCTTCTACTCTTGGACATTTTGGTTATTTTCAACTCTTTGATACACCCTACAATGGTGTAATGATATCTTTGCACTTATATTTTGCATTTTTGTGAGAATATTTTAAAGTTAAAGTTGTATAAGAGCAACATGTATACACAAATTAAGAAATTTTAGAAGGCTGATTTTCTTAGGCAGTCATCTGGTTCATTTTCATTGTCCTTCCCAAACCCTCCAAAGAATTGTTAAACTTCTCAAAAATGATTAGTGGCTTGTTTTTTTTCCCTTAAAGACATCTTCATGGAGACTTCCTTTCTCTTGCTCTGTTTATACTAAACATGTTCTAGGGCTTCTGCGTAGCTGTCAGCCTGGGGTTTCCACTCACTTCTTGACTGTGCATATGTCATAGTCACTCAACCCTGGGCTTCCATTTTTGTTTACTTACTAGTTTACTCCTTTGTTTTGTAATAGTTCCTAAGAAAGGGTGTATAGAAGGTAAATTTTGTGAGACATTGTATATTCACAAATGTCTTCATTCCCGCTTTACATTTGATTGATGATTTGGCTTATAAAGAGTATTTCCTCAGAACTTTGAAGACATTGCTCCATTGTCATATAGCATTCAGTGTCACTCTTGGTCAGCCCAATACCATTGTGATTTCTGATCCTTTATGTATGATCTGTTTTTTCCCTCTCTGGAAGCTTTTAGGGCTTTCTCTTTGTTAACAGTTTCCTGAAATTTCTTTATGCTGTGTCTTACATAGGCCTTTTTTTTTTTTAATTCCCTGGGATGGACCAGATGTTTTTCAAGTGGGAAAATGTTACTGTATTATTCTTGAATAATCTATTTCTCTTCACATACTGACCCTGCCCCGTCCTGCCCTGAGAGAATTACATAGGGACTATAAACTGTCAGCTGATTTCTGGTTAGGTTTGGCCAGCGTGAGATCAGATCACATGAAGAGAGAGAAGGCAAGAGTGTTTCCTCCCTGCTGTATCCCACATGTAGAAACACATCTCTCTTGGGCTACAGCTGTATCTTTAGCTGTATCTCCCACTGGGAGGTCCTTCCTCCTGAGCCCCATTTCTCACTCAGCTCCATTTACACTACCTCTTCTAACTTGCCCTTTCAGCTCTAGGAGTTTAACAGCTTCTCATTGTTAGTAATCTTTAGACAGGTTACCACCCGTTTGTTCCCTTAATCCTTCCTGCTCACACTTCCACATGTAGTCCTTTTGTAAAAATCACTATCTGAACCATGTGGGGTGAATTGGGCTTGCTATT